GAAAAATGTTATTTCTTTTTTAAAAATATTATTGTAATTCATTCACTCCTGTCCTATAGGTCCAACAACAGCGGGTGTAACTACTGCAGGTGCATCAACTGAAACTACTATTCCTGTCATGTATCCTCAGGATTTTGTAAGTTTTCAGTTACATAAGACTTATATTTAACACATGTATAATAGATAAATGCATGTGCACAACCAGTAGCAATTATGAGTGCTGTTATGATGGGTGTTATGGTTCCTATTCAAGCTTTAGTAATGTATGCTGCTTTCACGAAGTTTTCCAATATCTTTAATCCATTGAAGAAAAAAGCACAGCTGAGACATGCACAACGAATGAGAAAGATTAATATTAATCGACGTTGAACATTTGTTTTCTTCGGTGAACATTTGACATTTTTCCTTTTGATTTACTATACTTTTTTTTAACGACATATTTATCTTTATTTAATTTCGCTTATTTTTATTTTATTTTTTTGAATTAAATTTTGTTTTTTATTTTCTATTTTCTTTTTTTGAGTTAAATCTTCGTTTTCATTTTCTATTTTATTAAAAGGTTGCATTCTATATATTTTCATACTTGAATATCAAGCAAAAATAATAAAAAACAAATAGGGGATACCCGCGATTGAACCAGGGACCTCTCGATCTGCAGCCGAATGCTTTACCACTAACAAGAGAAAGTCCTGGAGTGATGACCCGAGTTGAAGCCTGATATTGTGTGGGTTTGCTACACCAAGTACCCTGATGTCAACGATGAAGCAATTACCAGCTGAGGTCGATCCAGCAAAAAGTGGTACTTAGACAGTATGGGACAAAGACAAAACGTACTAGATGTCCCGAACATCTGGTAATTTGTCCAGGTGTTCGGATTCGACTTTTTTTCTACCATTTTTACCGGGAGTCCGTAAAGCATGTTAGTCAGGGGACCATAGCTTAAAAAAATACAGGTAAATCGGAACGAAATGCTGAGCAGTATGTAAAATATTTTCAAGAAATCGGGTGACGGTATGGCTGTGGATGTGTCCTATGAGGGAAGAATGACATATACACTCACACCCACACCCACCCTCAAGAATAATTGAAAAAGAAAATAGAATTTATATTATTGAAATTAAAAAGAGACAAGTGAGAGTGTGAATCAGTATTCTATTCACTCTAGATATATACTTGAGAGTGGATGATATAGGTCTTGTATCTATCAGCCACACCCAGTTATTTTTTTCGACGATGTCAAATGATCTTTTTTAATAGGGACACATGTGTGTTTGTTTAACGATATTTTTGTTTTTCGCACAGATATGGGAACAAGAACGACTTAGAAATCTTCTAGATGGGTATGTGGGTGTAGATGTTATAAGAAGTGAATACTCACACCCAAGTAACATCAACGAACTCCACATTTAGTTTACTTAAATGATGAAAGAATAATTTTCTACTTTATGTCCTTAGCATATTTTGATTAATTTCTATAACAATATTTGATATCGATCTTCTACTATCTAAATATCATGTACTTATAATATTTTGTTTTTAATATTCTCTAAATGTCTATTTATAAGATACTATAGAAAGAAAAAGTTAACCATTTCATGGTATATAATAAAGGAAAAAATTTCTAAAAAAATATATATTTATATATTCTTCATCAATATTTTCTTAATCAACTATCATAATTAGTTAATTGTTTTTCAATTAAACATCGATCAAGTAACCATGATCGATCTGGTTCTGATTCAGGTGTTATAACACACATAAATAATTGTTGAGAATGACGATGTCTCATAAATAAACATATAGGTGTAAATGGTACAAATGTTTCATGATCAGATTTTGCTGATATATAATCACATAATTTATTATACAATTCAGGATAATGTTGTTCAATTTCGATTCCACGTTGACGTAATTCAACTTGTAATTTAGCAAAAAATACTTGACGCATATGATGATCATCATTAATAGCATCATCATAATTCAATGATGTTAAATATAAAGTTGGATATGTATTCGACGAATATATATTTGATGGTGAAATTTCGGGTAATTTATGAACAATTGATCGACTAACATATGTATTAGGTTGAATATCTATTAAATATAGAATAAATTTATATTTTTGATTTTGCTATTGACTTACTTTTATCTGCATCAACACGTATAGTAACATGACAAACAAATTCTTTACTTGGATCATAATTCATACAAAGTTCTTTTAAATGATTATATTCTGTTAAACGAAGATTTTCTATAGCACGATCTGTTTTACTATCATTTAATGACCAATAAATAGCAATTAAACGTGTATTTTCAATTGTATTTGAATGTACATAATCATCAGCTTCTTTCATATTATCAAAATAAAGTAATGTAGCACCACGTCCAGATGATAAATATCCACTTGATGCTAATGTACTTAAACGTTTTAATAAATGAATATTACTTTTCATTAAATGTAATATATGACCACAACATGAATAAGAATTTGCTAGAATACATTGACGTTTATGTATTGGCCAATCAGATTTTTGACATGCTTTACTACAATAGATTTGTTCACAATAGGAACATGAAATTGCTGAACGTTGTTTATTTGTTGAAGATGTTAATTGTATAAGTCTTGAACAAGTTGTACAATGTTGAAGCTAAAAACAAGTCAAAAAAATAAGATAATTATAAATTTAGAAGATAATAATACTTGTTCAGTTTCAAGATTAAAATGTACACGAGGTCGAGGATTTTTCAATAATGTATTAGATTTTTGTTTAGATATTTCATTATTTTGTACAAAACTAACAGCATAATTTGTTTGATCAGGCATTTCATTCTTATCATCAGTAGCTAAATTAATTGATAATGGTATTGAAGATGTTCGTCGTTGTAAAACTGGATATGCATGTTCAACATAAGTCTTTTTAATAGGTATGCAACGATCAGGCAATGGATTATGAAGCCATTTATCAAAACGAGAAACAAGTGCTTGTACTTGTTTATTTAACGAAGACCAATCAATTAAATCTTCCAATTCATCATCTTCATCAAATAATTCCGATTTATCCGAATCACTTTCAACAGCTATTGTCAATGATGATACTGGTTTAGTTATTAACTGTTCTGAACCAGATGTATAATAGGCACTATCATCTTTATTTAATGTTGAACTATTATTACTACCACCTAATATCGTACTAGTTGTAGTAAAACTTGCATAACCATCATCTGTATCACCGGCATTATGAGGATAATGACGATGATAATAATCATATTTTTTCTGTTTACTATTCTTTGGTGAATTATTCGTTGAACTTCCACTACTACATGTTGATGATGTATATGTAGATAATTTCCGTACTTTAGATTGTTTGATTAAAGGATACGATTGCCAAGTATCATCTGTAGGAATCATTAAGAAAATTTTATCTGAAACAACAATAAAAAAAATAAAGAAACGTCAAAAAAACGTTGTAAATTTCTACTCAATCATCTTTTTTATGTAACTACAAAATCAAGCAACCGCCATAAGCTTTTTTTTTAGTATTTACAAGACCGGTATGAATTGAATTATATAAAAGAAAACATCCTTGGATAGACGCATGGATGTCAAATAAAATACTTGCCATTTTAGAAAAACAAAACAAAAAATAGTTAATGATTATAAATGGGCAGAAAAATGAATCTATAGGAAGATCTATAAATGATTATTGACATAAAAAAATTCTTCTACAAGTGTTGGTTACCTTGTATTTAGAAGAAGAAGAAGAAGAAAAAACCCGTAATGTCATTTTAGTGAATTTATTCTTTTTACTTTTTCTCTCTTTCATTCTTTTAATAAAAGAATTGACTGCTATTTGCGTGTAAAGATGTAAGCGTGTACATGTCAAAAAAAGAGAGAAAGGATGAAGTTTGAATTTGCTTTAACCGTACAATTAAATTTAAGGTATCCATAACGTACTTTTTCAAGAGTGAGTGAATAGACAAGAAGTTCTTTCCTTCAGGCACAACATACATTTGAACGTGATAATGGATGACCAAGCAATTTAATAATCAAAAGTGTTTGTGTTTGAATCAAAGTATGACACAAAAAAAAGAAAGTTTTCAGTACACATTATTATTTTACTACTTGAATAGAATGCTTAAAAGAAAAAAAATCGAATGTAATATACAATTTTTAATATATATTTAATTAACATTTATTTTTTTGTTACTCTATTACGTCACTAAGAAGAATTCTGATAATCATACATTTTTCTTCTTTTTTTTTTGTGTGTTATTTCTAATGAGCATAATCATCTTGAAAGAAGTAGATGGCAATCACGCGAACAGTGACCGACGGCTCTTCTTATTGTTCATTATCAAAGAAAGTGATCTGATTACACAATAATAACAAAGGACAGTTATTATAGCTATATACATCTAATGAAATGAAACAAAAATGTCATGATGTAATCGAAAATTTTCTCTCTCCCTCTCGCTTCTTTGCTTGTTCATCATAACAACACAACAATAATAATAATAATAATAATAAAACGTACAATTATATACGAAGACCTTGAAAGATAAACAAGAGAACTTTTTTTTTCTCGTATAAATTGACATAAATTATATATACGTCTCAAATGTAAATATATCATACTTGTAGTTAAAGCAAAAAAAAAGCTGATTATGAAATGTGTTTGTATTGCTGTAAGGGTCAGTTTACTTTATCTCGTTATCCATTCGAGAGAGAGAGAAGAGTGTATCCAAAAAAAGAAGCTTGCTTTTATCATAAAGTATTACAACAGAAAACAAAACAACATCGAAGAGTGATTATGTTTGTAATGATAATGTAAACTGAGAAGAACAAAAGATCTCTGCTTGACCATAGGTCGATTATCAACAAATTACATCGAACAGTATAGAGAAAAGATACAGCTACATAACAGAATTGATTGTCCATCATTACGATGAGTATTACGTTATCACAGCATAGCAGGAGAAAAAAAAGATACGAAGGATATTTTCTTATATTCTCTCTATTAATCATTTTGCTATAACAAAGAAGTTCGAGTTCATTTGAAGATTGTCATTGTAGTAAAAAACATGGCTATTTATCATTCTTATATATTATCTCTGTTGTTTTTATTATTGATGATACATGTAAGTATTATAATTAAAATTAAGTTATTTATTCTTTTTTTTCCATATCTTATTAGTGGAGTCATACTGCTAGTCTTTATTTTCCATCTGAAAATCATGAAAATTTATCAATTATAAATAATGAATATTTACAATCCGAATCTTTCAATTCTCAAATTCCTTTAATTAAACGACTAAGGCGTTGGACTATCAATGGAGATAATGATGAAGTTGAAATTCCTTTCAATGAATCTCATCTATCTATAAACAATAGTTCTTCAATTAACAATAGTACTTTAGTAAATCTCATAACAATAGAATCAAATACATCAAATATTGAATCCGTTAATGATTTGAATATGACAACTACTGAAATAAAATCAGATGAAAATACAATGATAAAATATCCATTAACAGAACCAGATTTAACTGAATTGAATCAAACAATTATATCATCTACTGAAGAAGTTATTCAAAATAATAATACTAGTTTATCACCATTGATATCTAATGAATTGACTACAATCAATACAGAAGTCTTAACAACAAATGTTACTCAAATGATTACGGCTGATCATGTATCTAATACATTCGAATCATCATCACCATCAGTTTCAATCCTTCCTACTCAAACAACGCAGGAAATTGAATCAGTTACTACTGTAATTCATTTTGATTCAACTACTGTATATCCAGATGCAACAGTAATTAATCAAACGAATGAATGGAATTCAGTATTTAATGAAAAAATAGAAATAATTTCATTAAATGATTCATCTACAATGAATTCGAATATATCACTAAAAGATGCTCGAATAACAATTGATCAACAACTATTTACAAATGATACAGATATAATAATGTTTGACAATTTAGATGAATCATTAAAAGTATCAACAATGCCTATTTGTGATGCTTCATGTCTATGTTTAAAAGAATGTTTATATGGTTTTGAACTTTTAAATGATACATGTTTATGTAATCCACCATGTACAGTAAGTGATAATAAATATTCTATTTTTCTTCTATACTTTTTTATTTTATTTTAATAGAATTATCAATGTTTTGGTAATGATACTTGTATTATAACAGATGAAGGACATCCTTTATGTCAACCACAAAATGGCACTGAATATGGTAAAAACGAATAAAGAAATTTTCGAAATATTTGAATTTGAATTTGTTTTAGATCGTCCAAATCGTTGTTATCAACCAAGAGATGCTGGTTATCATGATATTGATATTCGTTATCATAATCGTTGGTATTATCATCCTGGTCAAGATACATGCCATTTATTTGTTTATCGAGGTTTAGGTGGAAATGAAAATAATTTTCAAACCTTAGATGAATGTCATTCAGAATGTATTAGTAAGTTTCTTCTTTTTTTCTATAAGGTTGATTCCTATAGATTATTTCTTATCATTATTAGCATGTGCTCCATCACCTGATCCAGGCGACTGTTTTGGTCATGTTAATATGTGGTATTATGATAATAAAAAAGGTGAATGTAGAGAATTTGAATATTCAGGTTGTAAAGGTAATGATAATAAATTTTTTAAAAAAGAACTATGTATTGATACATGTATTACTCGAAGACCTTTTTTGAAATAATTTTCATTTCTTTGTATTTCTATTCTCTATATCTACATTATTAATTTGTTGTGTGTGCGTGTGCGTGCATGTGTGTTTACTTTATGTTAATAAAATTCAATTAATGTTAATATTATAATTAAAAAAAACGTAGTTTTATTTAAAAAGGAAATGATGATAAGTTATGAACATTATTGCTTTATTGTTGTCAGGAAGATATGAATCTATCTGTACATAACAAGTAACGCTCTCATAGAGATTCGCTGAACTCTTTCTCGTAGTAATGGTATTCACAATGAAGCTAGATTTCTTCTCGGAGACTGCTCTTTGTCTACAAAATGATTTTTAAAAAAATCCTAAAAAAACTAACACCAGATTCGTGTTCCTCGAACTCGACTACCCTTATAAAAAAAAATCCTTTTATATCTTTACCTAATTTTTGGTTCAATCAGTAAAATACGGATGCACAATCAAGTAGACAATTTATGTTTGCAAGACTCTTCTCTATCAGAAAGAGAACTTAATTTATATAGAATTTAATAATATTTTTATTTATTTAATGATAGATATTCAGTGAATACAATTCAAATGAATAAATATTTGATACTAGTTTATTTGTCTAAGATGTATTTTTAATCAAGTAGAAAGAAAAAATTTAAGGTTCGATTATAATTGAATTTTCATTGGTTTTGGTATTTTTGTTTTATGTTCAAGTAACATATCCGTATCCATGGCAATACCAGCACAAGCTGAAAGTATATTTGTTATACAACGATGTTGTTTAAATAATGCATTTATAACTGGTGTACCCGGTGGAACCACTGGAGCTTTAAGAAGATATGAAAGAATTGCTAAAACAGCTTCAAATGATTGATATTCTTCTTGATCATTTGTTTTATATGTAATACGTGTCATTAATTCAGTTAAAATAACTAAATCAATAATTAATGGTGATGCTAATAATGAATCTTCACATGTATTATGTATAGCTATTGTACTAAGACCATTCATAAATATTGATGATATATATTCATCCATAGCTCGTTTTGAATCTACAAAAACAAAAGATTTTATGAAATAAATTTAATTGAAAATTATTAATAACCTTTAACAAATGGAACATATTTAATGACGACAACATGATCAGGATGTTCATTGGTTTTTTTATCATAAAGTAAATGATTAGCTCCAACCATATCATCAACGACATTGGATTTACTTATTTCTTTTGAACGAAATTGTTGTGGTGCACTTAAATTTTTTCCATCATTATTACCTAAATGATTATATGACACAATTGATTGAAGTTTTAAACCAGCTGAAACAAGAAAATCAGCAAGAACAGATTTAAGTTTTGTTTGTCCACTTTTAAAATCATCACCACCAATAAAAACATGATGTTTTTCAGCAAGTTCAATTATTCCTGGTACTAATGTATTCTGTGGACTACCATTTATATATGGACAATTTTCAAGAATAGCTGCACAAGCAAAGATATTCGATGGACTTATTTCATCATCATTAGTAGCAATTGATTTAAGAACTTCTTCAGCTGTCATATTTAATCCTTGACGAACTAAAAACAAAATTCAATAGGAAAATTAAAAAAATGAAAGAAATTAATTTTTACCATCGGTATATCGTTCTGTATTAGCTGTCCATAAAATAATAACTTTTTCTAAATTATTAGCTTTTTTAAATGCTCGAATATCATTTCGTATATGTTCTAAATCTTGTTGTTTTGTTCCTTTTGGTATTAAATTATCTGCACGATCTTCCTGATTAGCAGCAATAAAATCCGGATAATAAATTGATGGTAATGGTTTGAATTTAATCATTTTTGCTTTTAATTTCTCTTGTAATTCATAATCGAATACACATGCTCGTTGCATAGCTTCATATAAATTTGCACCATTTATATCCCATCCACCAATAATTATATCATTGGGATGTAACATTGGTAAGATTGTATTAAATGGTATATGAACTTCTTTGCCATCATTATTACTTCCAAGTCGAATTGTTGTTGATTGAGTTAATGAACCATAATAATTAGGACGTTGTTCACCCTCTATAAAATATCAAATATATGTTTTCTACATAGTTCTATTTAGGTTTGAAACGAAATCTATTTGCTAAAGGATTCTATCAATCGTTCTTAGGCAATAAATAAACTTATACCTTTACGCATCCATGTAATATTATCTCGATTAGCAATGGTAGCGCCAGTAACTGTTGAACCATTATTTCCACCCCAACCAACAAGCATAACACCAGTACGTTGTACTTGACGTTTTGTACGAAAATCATATTGATATTTACGTGGAATAATGTTCACTTTTTTTGCTTGATGATCAACTTCACAATGATTCATATCGTAGATATATTTACTTTCAATAAATTCATTTGAATAAATAGTATTTCTACTATTTACTTCAATGGTATAATCAGGTGGTACACCTAAATTGATAAATGATATGATGTGAACAAAAAATCTTAAAATTTTTACCATCATGATCGGCTGGATTGACGACATCACTATCTTCACTAAGTGTATTTACTTCAACGATAGCTGTTGATTTAGAATTTTGTTGCGATGCTGAAGCATGATTATTTTCAGGCATTTTTTTTGTTTAATTCTAAAGATAAAATGAAAAGTGAAAAGTACATATATCCAGGTTGATAGTTTGAATTAATAGAATAGAATAAACCAATCAACCGTGTACATATATATTACTACTTGGTTAGAAGAATGAAAAAAGAGAAATTTTCATTTATAATGTTCAAATGGATCGTGTGTATACATATATATACATATATGCGAGATGAGTTCGACCTGGTACATTTCACACATCGATGGTTGTGAATTGAAGGATAAAAAAACAAAATATACGTACTGTCCGTACGATTATTCATATATATATCTCAAGTATTAATTCAAAAATCGTTCGATCAAGGTCATTCGAATATTTATCCACATTAACCAATTTTATGCTCTTTAAATTCATAGTACGCATATCATTTTCTTTAAATTTTGGGCGATAACCTTGAGAAAAAAATAAAGTTCTTTTGAAAATATACATAATTATTTAGTAATTCACTAAAATATTATAATCGATTTATTTTACATAAATATGGCGTGATCATAGATGAATCATAATTAATAATATATTATTCGTTATGAGAATGTTGATGTAAAATCCACCAATTTATTTCAGAAAGAAAAACAATCTGTTTTATGTATAATTTCATACTAATATTAATATGATACCTTCGTTTTTTTTTAATTTTGAAGCTTAAATAAATGTGTTTTTCATCGTTACTTCTACATAATTTACAAAAACAAAAAATGAAAATAACAAAAATGAGCGAAAAAAAAATGAAATATTTATAATTAAATCAATTAAATATTCTGTTTGAATCACATATTAATGGCTTTTGTTTATGTTGAGCAAAAATGTTGATAGATTAAAATATCCTACCATATACATTTCTATGAAAAACAAACAAAAAAAAGTAAAACAACATAAATCACTTATAATATCATAACATGAAAAGTATATATAACCAAAACCAAAGAAAAATATGTTTTTTTCTTCTTTAATCAAGAACGATAACAGCACTAGGAGTTTTTGTTGGACTTAATTTCGATGTTGTAGTAGATGGAACTGGATTATTATTTCTATCAATTATTGTAGATAATGATGGATTAGGTAGAGGACGTGAAAGTTTTTGAAGAACAGGACGAAGTGAAGGAGCTTCTAAAAGAAATAGAATTCAGTTTTATAAATCAAATATAGAATTTTTACTTGGTAAAAGCGCTACTGATAGTGGCGGCGGTGGTGGTGGTTTAGTGTTCACTTTTTTCTGAACATTTGACTTGAAAGTATTTGTTTGTGGTTGTTTAGCTAAGAAATAAATATAATATGTCTATGTTTAATTATGAGAATTTATAACTTACTAGCATTGGTTTTTAAAAATCGATGAGAATTATTCGAAAAAGATATTTTATCTAGTTTCGTTTGTGTAAAAACTGAATCACCATTCGTCATGGATGAATGTAATGAAGAAATTATTGCTTGTTCACTATTATTTGTTTCTGGAGAAGATACAACAAATATATTTTCACGACTTTCACGTAATTTATGTTCATGATCATATAATTGTTTTTGTTCAATATTTTGATCATATTTATTATTTAATTTTAATGAATCAGTTATAAGATTCAAATTATCAATAGACAATATCGAATTGAGAACATGATTTGGTAATGCACATATGAGAGATGTTTGGTCACTAAAAGATTAAATTAAATTTTTATATACAATATTGATAGAAGTTTAGATTCTTCGAGATACTATATTATCTCTAGGAAAGAGTCATTAGGGGAGACTATGACGCACATATTTATGAGATATTGTACGTAACACACACCAAATTTTGCTCAATTCAAAATCACAAATTTTTTCTTTATACCTTCGAGTAGTACGCCAAAGATAACGATTAGGAAGAACATTTCGAATCAGGCTGATACCGCTGATTCGAAGAAGATTTATATCAAAGGCAATTATTTTACCATTGTATTGGAATTACGTTACTGTAGTTCCGAAAATTTTAACAATTTCTATAGAAAAATCGTCTATCAGGAGATTTGTATCGCAGTCAGGAAAAATCGAGTAAGGATAAAACGTAGGATATAAGACTAAAAAATGTGCTCTACAAGATAGGGTTAACTTCAGATTGATTCGAGCACATTTTTAAAAAGTCGGGTGTGGCTTACGTGCAATGTCTCTTATGTAAGATTAAAAACCCTACTGAGGTTACTGAATCAGTTTTTGGCTCCCGTCCGTACACCTTCGAGTAAGTAGCTAAACTATCTCTCACCGTTTCCGTACTTGAAATACTATTTTAAAGTGTCAATAATACACAGTGCTCATACGAAATATCAAGCTTTAAAGAGATTTCGTCCACAGATTGAATCATGGGTCTCGTAGGGTTAAAATATGTCTACAAATTTTCAGCTCAAAGAATAGTGCATTATTAATACTACAATTATTGAAATAATTACACATTCTAACATATGATTGACATTAAACAATAAAAATAGAATCGAAACATCCGTCTAGTTTAGCCAATCATACACTTTCTATTCGATGCCCTGGAATATTTCAATCTTGTCTAATTTTAGTAAATCAATTTATAAAAATTTCTTTTTTCTCCGTACCATTGAAAACTATTATGTACTTCAAAGAGTTTTTCTTTTACTAAATAATTTAGATTTTCACCTGTTATTTTCTTCACTATCTATAATATCATTAACAATGGTTCGTAAACAATCAGCAACTTCATCAACTAATCTTGTTTTAGAAAATTTTGTTATAAATTTTCGTCGTTTTAATATATCTTGTGTTTGACACATATGTCGAATAGTATGTTCTCGACATATATTATATTCTAATATTAATGAATGTAAACAAAGTGGTTTTTTTAATGAATAAAATCGTCGATGTTTTATTAAAACATAACTTTGATAATTTTTTTCTTTTTCTTTTAAACATATTGTTGAACGATGATTCGTATTACATTTTTCTGTTAATAAAACAATATCATTATCATCTTCATTTAATAATTCTTTTTGTTTAAGAGGTTTTTTCTTCAATGGTTTATTTTGTTGTTGATCATTATATGTTGCTGATGATATAATAAGTTGTTGATTAGTATTATTTGCTTTATTTGTAGTATCCGATGATGATGAATCCATACATAGAGCAAATGTTCCATCTTGGCAACGTGTTACATAAAGTAAATCATATGCTTTTGGATTTGCTGGATCATGAATAGTTTCAGTTACACTATGTTTTTCAAATATGTGTTGAGAAAGAGTATAATGTGAATATGTATAAAATGAGCATTGTTCACAGAAAAACATATGCGTAAAAAGATGTTGAAGAAGAGTTGAACTAAAAAATAAATTTTATTTTTTAAAAATAAATATTTCAATATAGATAATTGAAAATAAACCTTGTCACACTTTTAAATTTACATATATTGCATTGATAATATTTTGTATCATGAAAAGCAGACAATAAACCTGTACCATTGAGTACTTGACGACGAATTTCGGTTGAAGGAGTAATTACTGCTGTCGTAGTCGATGATGTTGATGATCGTGAAGTTTGTTGCTCGAGTCGTGGACGTAAAGATGATGATGGCGACGTCTGTTGTTCAGATCGTTGACGTAATGATGGTGGTGAAGTCTAAATATATAGATTATTCATATTTGATGTATAGTTAAAAAAACATTTCTATAGAAAAAAGACATAGTAGTTTTAAGATACTAATATTGAGTTCAAATGAAATTAATTATTTATTAGGAAATAATGTATTCCGTATTTAAGAATACCATAAAAATTTAATTTATAATCTTACCGATTGTGCATAAGGAATTCGGGAGTTTTTAACAGGACGTCCTCGTCGTGTACTTGATCGAATAGGTGATAATGGTGGTGGTGGTGGTGGTTTAGATACAGGTAATGTTAAAACTGCAAGTGATGGTCGTGGTGCTGGCATGGCAATTAGTTTTCTTGACTGTTGAATATTTTTATCATTTGAATTTTGAACTGAAGTTGTATGGGATTTCTCTATTGGACGTTTTCCTACATGATTTACATTCGTCAACGGTGTATTTGGTACTCTTGGTGATGATCTTCGAATAGGATTTGATGAGATTTTAGTTGATAATACTGGAGGAGGTGGTGGTGGTGTAGGTGATTTAGGTGGTTGATTCTGAATTGTCCAATCAAATGAACGAAATGAATGAGTATCAGGTTCTTCAATAATATACTCATCTGGATCAATTAAAATCGGTTCGGAATCAGAATCACTACAATGTTGTGATGATTGCTGTTGATAATAATCATTTCGCTGTCGTTTTGACCAATTTACAACCGATGAATTAATATGAACATTTGTATTTGTTAATTTTCGTTTTTTACGTGGTAATCGTCTATCATTCGATGATGATGCTCTGGACATATTATCATCCTCATCATCATCTCCTAAGTATAATACAGGTGGTGATGATGGAGAATCCATCTATAAGACATAGATATATAATTCAATTAATGATTTTATCATTGATATTTCTATTTTAATAAATGAAAAAAGATGTTGATGATGATGATGATATGAAATCGATCAACCTTCATTTTCGATTGTTAAGCGCTACAAGCCAATCTCAAAATATGTTACTAATAGCGCTAGTAAAGAAATTTTTTAATTGGTTATTTTTTTATATCATATAAGAATACATTCTGTTTTTAACACACTACGACATTTTAAATTTTAAAATCGAATTTAAATTTAAATTTTTTGTTTCAATTTAAAGGATTACCTAGGTAGCAAAACAGAAGCTATTGTTCGAAAAAGAATTTGATGTTTGATATGTTAATCTAAGTGTTTTAATTCAACAATGTTTTCTCACCTGTCGTCAATGAAGCAGTGGTATTTGTACTAATTAAGTTATTTATTTAGAGTTAATCCAAGACGAAAACTAGATGCACAAAGGCAAGAGTTAATAATCTAGTTGTATAATTACAGTTTAGGGATTTTTTCAAGGATAAATAATACTTTCTGAAGAAAAGGGAAGCATAACTTTGAAGATTCTCTTATGATTAAGCTGCAGATTTGAGAGCGATAAGAGTGGATATGTCTGAACATTGAAATGAAATGCAGTTCTTGTTAGAATTAGTGACCTCTACTTTCAGTCATTAGATGGAGCCAGACTGAAAGCAATCATGGTATCGAAAAATCAATTAGCAAAAAAGGCTTCAACATCGTTTAGTTTCTATGGCTTCAATCATGCTATTATATATTCAATGGTGTTTTTCTAGCAAACAATTTCAATAAGATCATAACCTTGAAGTGAAATATATATATCTCAGTTAAAACAAACTAATTTAAAAACATCTTATCTAAAAACTATGTTAAATATATAGAATCTATTTCATTTAAGACAAAAGTTTTTCTCTCCTATTTACATGGCTACTTCAGTGGCATCTTCTTATAATGCTGGTAGTATGTCTCCAGAAGGCATGCGACGACCGCCAAGTAATCTTTATCAAAGTATTCGTCCATTACGTCGTGAACGAACAATAATGGATAAAGAATTTCATCGAACTCGACAATCAAATTCGGCTTATTCTCCTGATTTACCAGTCAGATCTTCAGTATTCTCAGGCGGTATGAATAGTACTGATTTATTTTATTTTAAAAAAAAATTTATTTTACAAAGAAAAACAATATGAACAACGTCCTGTCTCAACACAAGTTCGTTCAGCAAAATCCAATGAAGTAATAAAAATTTCTTTTTTATATAAAATATCAATTGAAACAATATCATTTCAAGATTTTTCATTTAATTGATCGAAAATTACAAACAGGCGTTCATGGTGTACGTCATTTATTCCGTGCAAATGATCCTAGTCGTGCAGGAAAATTGTCAAAGTATAGAAAATTAATATTCATTCTTTTTTTTTATTATTCATTATATTTTAGAGAAGGATTTCGACGCGTATTATCACAATTATGTGGTTATGTAAATGGTGAAGAATGGGAGAAAGTTTGTAAAATGTGAGTACATTTATTTGTAAATCAATCTATGATTATTAAAATTTAGGTTTTACATGAATGACCGAGATGCTACGATAACATTTGAAGAATTTGTTTCTTTTTTTCCGGATAATGAAGTTAGTAAAATTCAATCATATTAAAATATAATATTATATCATTGTTTTTCAGAAAGTCAAACATGAATTATCTACATTTCGACCAGAAAGTAGTAATTCATCATTACTTAGTTTAAGTCGAAATATGTTGACAACTCCACAATCACATCATAAACGTTATTTACCTAAACTTACTGCTAATTATTGTTATTCATTAATGAAAGCAAGATGTCGTGATCCGTAAATATTCTTTGTTTTTTTTGATTATCTATAGGTATTTATTTTTGATTTTTTATTCAGATCATTTGTACCAAATGATTATTTACCTAATGATTGTTTAAATAATGGTGTTATTATACGTGATCATTTAAAGATAATTTTAAAAAATTTTCATTTAAATGATATTATTAATGATGAGAAAGAATTTGAAAATCTATGGTCAAAATTTGATTTCGACAATGCTGGAATGATACGAACAAATGTATTTCTTCGTTTACTAGATTATCGTGTTAATCTTGCTGATGAAATTGATGCTGATATTCAAAAATTAATAACTGATCGAGGTATTTCAGGTTCATTATCATTCGTAGAAGGATCACCATGGAGAAAAAAAAGACAAGTATTAGCAAATAAAAATCGACAATGTAATGATAATGATAATTATTCAGCATGTGGTGCACCACCACCATCAGCTGTAAATGATATAGAAGATGAAACAATGATAAATTCAGATACAAAATATAATAATGATGAATGTGAAAATTCAAATAAGTTTTCACGATCTGATAATAATAATAATCCAATGGAAACATTAAATACAAGAATTCGAACATTGGTACAAAAACATAAAAACATGACTAAACAATTAAATGAATCTGGTGAACTTTTATTATTTCTTGATCGAAAGGTAAAGAAACTTTTATTTGAATTAATCTACGTCACATAATCAACTAAAGAATTAAGATTTTAGTTATTTAATAATTGAGGGTGTAGATTAATCCTTCCTTGACCAACATCTTCACTCATACACTGTCAGTTTTCCTTCCCATATTCTCTTTCTCATAGAGAAGAGTCTTGTAAACATAAACTGTCTGCTTGTGTGTCCACACTTCACTGATTGGTCGAAGACTAATCTGGAAACATAAACGATTGGTTTCTATAAACTTTGACCGAAGGGTACTTGGGATTGAGAAACACGAACCTAACGTTAGTTTTTGAAATTGTTCGAATAAATAGTTTACTGATAGTTAAGATACGTCCTTTCCACGAGAAGGAGCTGAGCAAGTCTCGAGTAGAGATGTGCGGGACCAACCTTTTTAGGTCCCGGTCCCTATAAGTTTGGATTTTTTTGGTCCTGCACATCTCTAGTCTCGAGATGAACGTTACTTGTACACTAGCATCTTTTGCATTACTGATTATAACTTTGCTTGTATATAACATTAAAGTTGATTGAATGTTACAGAAGAATAAAATCATTATATTTAGGTCAATGAAGGTTATTATTGGTTAAAAGAAATCTTTAGTCTTTTGGATCCAAATCGAACAAATTTAATAACAAAAGAACAACTTATTGCTACTCTCAATCAATTTGATATTCCAGTTTCACATAATAATATTGATCAATTTTTACAAAAGTAATTCAAAGATATTTTCATTCAATACAAAATAAAAGAAAACTTTATTTAGACATCATTGTAAATTATCAAAAAATACAAATAATGAAACTGTGATTGATTACAATGCATTTTTAAAATACTTTCAAGATCGTTCTGATACAAGTTTTCTTGCTCGTGCTGTTAGTGATTTAAAAAAACCCAAGTAAACAGAAAAAAAAACAAAGTTTATCATAATTTCTTATATTTTCTTTTCTTAAGATCAAAAACAACTCAATCTAATACATCTGATATCGAAGATGGTCTTATCGATTTATTACACGATATTTTTCTTTCTCTTACATCAGCAACAATTAAGTATTTTATTACGAAATTTATTTTCAACTATAAAATAAGAATTTCCTTTTTTTTTAAGTTATATTTCGAGAGAAAACGATGATTTATGTTCAGAGAAAGAATTATTTATTGTATTGAAAAAAGAACTCGGCATTGCTGATAATTATCGATTTACTGATAATCAAAAGGAAGAAGTTTATACAGTACTGAATTGTACGAATGAAATGAAACAAAAACGACAATTACCATATAAACGTTTATTATATTATCTTATGAAAATGTTTGTTTAATAGTTTTTAAATCGATAATATATTCTCTTTGTTTATTATTAGAAAAATTCCATATACCAAAGACCGAAATAATCAACCGAAATTTAGCGAAAAGAAGTCTGAACAAAAATTATTAATACCACCAAGAAATTTAACTTATGTAAGTAACAACAAAATAAGTCTTGTTTTAATTTATTTTCGAATTTTTGTTTTTAGATTGAAAGAACATTGAATGATGTAATTCGTCTTCGTATGCATACATTAACGAAAGCATTTTCTAATATTGATCAACCACGAACGGATTGTATTAATCGAGAACAATTTTACAAAGTTCTTCAAGAGTAAAATTAGATTAAAAACTTGTTTTTTCTTATATTGAGATTATTTTATTTTTTATAAATAGTATAGAAACAGATATAAGACGATCTGAAGTTAATTTCTTTTGGTCAGCAAGTGGTTTTCCTACACATGAAAGTGTTCCATTTGCAAATTTAATAAAACAAATCGTTGTATTTAATCGTGATGATAATCAATCAAACTTGAAACAATGTATAGATTTAGGAGATTATTGAATTTGAAATTCTTAAATTTCTATTTAGTTCAACGTGTTCAAACAGGACGACAACGTCATGCTCAATTAGCAACAACAAGATCTGTCTTTACACCAGGAAGAATAAGTGACCTTTCAAACATGGGTCAATCAGTGGATTATCGCGAAATATACAATCGTATACTTCCCTATGTAAGAAAAAACTTGTTTTCTAATTCACATCCTATAAATCTTTGCTATAGGTTCGTCAGAATTATATTAGAATAAAAAATGATTTACTTGAAAACGATCCAACAGCTTGTGGTTCAGTTAATTTTTCTGTCTTACAAGTAAATAATAATCTTTAGATTAAAATGAATTACTTTTATTTTTTATTTCTAGAATATTTTTGATTATTATTCTGTTCCAATTAATGAAGAAGAATTACGTACACTTGTTCGTCTTGATGATCGACATAATGGATCAAAAGTTCAATATCCATTTTTTATTCGAAAATATCATCCTGATGGACCTGTTATAAAAATTGTAAGAAAAAAAAACTCTTTCTAATCTATTTAAATCTTCTTTCTCTTTCAGAGTCCATGGACACGTGTACATCCTGTTTATGAACAATTAGTTCAAAAACAATACACTAAAGTAATTTTAAGAAATAATTAAAATTTAATAATATTTATTTTCTTTATAGCGACCATCGAAAGAAGTTTATGACCAACGAACTCAGGTTTATTTTCTTTTGCTTTTCATATCAATCTCACTTCGATGTTTTTTTTGCGTGCTAGTCAATTTTTAATGCTATGTGTTTGTGTGTATAATTGTGTTTTTCTTTACCTTTGTTATTGTTCTCAAACGATCAATATCATCCGTAATTTAGATTGCTTATGTATAACACATTGGAAATATATTGTGAGTACACAATAATGAAAAAATAATTTAACGAAACTTCAATTATATTTCTAAATAATTTTCTTTTTATTATAGAATCCTCGTGATTTGAATACTCTTATTCGATTATTTCATTCATATGATAAATCACGCAAAGGTAAAGTACTGAAAAAGATTTGCCACGACAGGAAATATATTTCGCTAATTTTGAAATGATATACAGATGTCACTAATTCATTTTATTTAAGGTTCGTTGACAAACAATGAATATTATTCATTACTTCATGATAATGGTATCGATATAAATAAATCTGATGAAGAATATTATCAACTCTTTTCCAAATATGATAGACAATTACGTGATCAATTTAATTATACTGATCTTTTCCGCACTATGATTAACACAATTATGTCATAGATTTTATAAACAATATTATCTTCTTCTTCTTTTTTTATTCTATCAAAATTTTCCGCATGATTTGTATTTTTTTTCTCGAATTAATTTCTTAATAAAATAACCAATACAACAGATGGTTTCACAAGCCACCACCTGTTCAATTCACTCAGCATGACAAGAAACATTGCTACTTTTCATTCACACATTTATTTTTTTTTCCTTTTCTTCTTCTTCGTTCAATATTCGATTGTCGCTGTCCCTGATTTCGTTTCTTTAGTCTAACCGTGCGTGCAAAGAAACGCATATATAGATATGTATATAATTCATTGTTCAATTTTCTAACAAACATAGCAGACGAAGAAAGGATAGAAACGGACGGACGAATGAATGTACGCATATATCGAACGTTCATTATATTATAGTTGCATGCATATTGGTTCATTGATGTTAGACATTGTTTTTTTTTAAATGACAAGAACCTTTTATTAAAATGATATCAAAACGGTAGGGTTTATATTAAAATATATAATTAATTAAATTATTATTATAATTTAGAACAAGTTGTAGTCGAAGTAGTTTTACAGAAGATGATTCGGATTTTGATGAAAATATATATAGAGTGAAAAAAGTTACATCAAGAAAAAAATCGTATCGAAAATGGACAAAAGAAGAAGTGAGTTTACGAAAGAAAAAAAAATCATCTAGAAATTTTTTTTTTGTTAGGATGAACGTTTGAAAGATTTTATTAATGCTAATAATGGTTTAACAGATTGGTCTCGTATATCACAATATGTCGGAAATGGTCGTACAGATGCACAATGTCAACATCGATGGGATCGTTTTCTTGATCCATCAATAACAAAAGGACCATGGACTGATGAAGAAGATAGGAAGGTTATTGAACTTGTACGAGATTATGGTGCAAGACAATGGAGTATAATTGCAAAGGAATTAAAAGGACGAGTTGGAAAACAATGTCGAGAAAGGTAAAAAAAATGAATTATTAATTTTGTATTTTATTTGTTTTATTAGATGGCATAATCATCTCAATCCAGCAATTAATAAAGACCCATGGACAAATGATGAAAATTTTTTATTGTTTATTTTACATCAACATTTTGGGAATCGATGGGCAGAAATAGCAAAACATTTTAATGGAAGATCAGATAATTCAATTAAAAATCATTGGAATTCTTCAATGAAAAAAAAATTTGAATTAGAAGTATCAAATTTAAAACGACAAGGACTTGAATGGACTGCATTGTAAGAAACTAATTTTTACAATCTAAATAATAATTATATATATTATTTTTTTTTATAGAATTCCATGTGATTTTCCATGGCCTAAACTTGATAAAATATCTCCAACTCGTTCACCTCTAACTACTATAACAAATCAAACACATTGTTCGACTACAAAAAATTCTTCGAAAAGAAGTACATTATCTTCTATAGCTGTATCTATTATTAAAAATGAAACTTTTGATTTACCAATTGTGAACAGTGATGATAATAATACTCATAGTTTTTTTCCAACAACTGATTACAATGCTTTTAATATTTCATCTTCACATGAACAACACTCAACAGTTTATCCAGATCATATACAGGTAAAGTATAAATATTTACGAACAAGAACTTGAGATATTCGATAGCGTAGTTAGTGATAATTCCTAGTCTAATTTAGATATGATGTATTTAGGAATGTATCGAGTCCGAGAGGGTCGGGCTCGGGGCTCGGGTATCAGAATTGATATGGGAGTGAGTGAGAGTGATAAGGATAGTACCCGCACTCACCACCCCCACCCACTCCCACATCAATTCTGACACTCGAGTCTGAGAGGCTCGGTACATCCCTAGATGTATTGTTTAGGTGTTAAATATTTGACTTAGCCGATGTTTTCTGGTGGAATTGTAACTTTGAATTTCACTTCGTTTTAGCCTATAACTTCTTCTCAAAAATCTTCAAATACTCAACAAGAACGTTCATCACAAGATCTTGAACGATTATTTTATTGTACACCACCATCTCCTGTAAAACAATTACCTATGCTTTCATCATGTGCTGATTATACGACATCAAGTCAAAATTCTCAAACAGATCATCATATATCTTTATTTCCTTCCTCTCTCGAATATTATCCAACTCATACATCATCACAAACTTCATCATTACCTACATTTACTTGTTCGTCATCAGCACTATCTTCACAATCAACAATTTTATCAACAGATGATTCATTTTCACTTAATTTTAACTCACAAAATGAAATCAAACCAGATACTAAGCATCTTTTAATTGAACTTACACCATCGAAAAAATCTCAAGATATTGTTACTTCACCAAAAACTATTTCAAATACATCATCACCTTCAAAACATCGTGTACTTAATACACCTGAACGTTTAGATCGAGTAAATTGATTTTCTTTTTGGAAAATTTCAAGTATATATTTCTTGTTTTTTATTAAAGCCACATCGAATTCATTTAACAGAACAAGATTGGTTCCAGTAAGTTATTTTATTTTCGAAAAAAATAGTCAGTAAGATTTATTTTATTTTAAATTTTTAGTGATTTTTTTTCATATTCTGAACAAACAACAACAAGTACTTCAGATAATCATTCATCTTTACGACCAACAATTGTACGGCGTAATAAACGTTTACATAAATATCAATCAACAATTCTTGAAACAAAAAAACGAGAACGTTTTTCAAAGAATTTATTTCATTCATCGAAAAGACTCAAAGAAGAATTAGGAGTAAGAATTCAATAAAATGATTTAATAAATAACTTATTTTTATGTCATTTAGTATGATCCAACATATGAAGAAATATTAATTGGTCAAACATGTATTCAACGTCATGTAACTGAACAAGCTCGACGTTATCTCTCCTGTTCCTCATTAACTAATTTTAATTGATAGAAAAGAAATGATTCATTTTTTTCTACTTTAAGCATTGTGCTTTTTTGTTTGTGTTTTCTCTTTTTTTTCTTGCTTGTACAATTTACTTGACATTTATTTCTTAACATAAATAATTTTATTGAAAAGAAGATACTTTTAATTTTTCCATATATCATAATATTCTACAATTGAATTTTCTGAGGATGCTCAGTTATAGTTAAACTATTCGAACAAAATTAATACTGTAGAGAGACTATTAACTTCAATCAAACTGTTCTCGATTTCATACGAAATTGTCTTGTTAATAGCGACATCTGTATATGATTTTTGTGATGTTATTTATATGTGGACCAGTTAGAAATAATGCGTTCTATTCGGTTCATTCATTCATTTGATTGAAAAGCGTGACTAAAAATAATGAGTTTATCGTATGCTGAAAGTCTTTCTTACTTTCCGCATAAGGGGAAAGTTGGTATGCCTGAATTAAGTGAAAAATCGGATGAATTACAACGTAAAATTGATTAAATATTTAGTGTTTTTTCTTAAATTAATATAATTGCTATTTGTCTAGTTAAATTAAATCAATTAGAAGAAATGATTCGTCAAAGTCATCATACGGTTGTTATTACTGGAGCTGGTATATCAACAGATGCTGGTATTCCTGATTTTCGAGGACCAAATGGTGATTAAATTGAATTTGATATAGAGTATCAATTATATTATGAAAATTTATTTTAGGTGTTTGGACATTGGAAAAACGTGGTGAAAAACCTTCGTTTAATACTGGTTTTGATAAAGCAATACCAACATATACACATAAAGCTTTATGTCGATTAGAAGAAAACAATTATTTACATTATGTAATTAGTCAAAATATTGATGGACTTCATCATCGATCTGGATTACCGTTAGATAAATTAGCTGAATTACATGGAAATGTTTTTTCAGAAGAATGTGAAGTTTGTCATGCACAGGTATGTTTCAAAAACAATACATTTCAACTAAGAGTATGATAATGAAAGAAGTGTAGTAATCAGTTTGAAATGGTACATCAATTTCTACTTTCAGAACTGTCATCATTAGTGACGAACCCAGAGGAGAGATTGGAGAGACCGGTCCCCATGAAAAATACAAATACCTAGAGGAAAGTACGGAGTTATCAAATATTGCAAGCCGAAAAACAGTTTTCCTACAGGTTAATCTCCTCTCTCGGAGAAAATTTCTAGTTGCGTGCCTGATCATCATACTCCCAGTATAAACAATCTATGAGAGTTGATATCGATTCAAACAAAAATACAAAGTGATGATTCGTTATATATGAATAGCTGATATTTGAAATATGAATCGATAGATTTCTTGATTGTACGATGGATTGTATATTTTTTATTTAGATTATTCGTCCAACATGTGTTGGTTCCTATTGTCGTAAACGAACAGGTAATATTTGTAATTCTGTCAAAGGACGACATAAAAATTTATCATGTCGTGGAAAATTACGTGATACTATACTTGATTGGGAAGATCCACTACCAGAACCAGCACTTAAACTATCTGAACAACATTGCGCGTAAGTTGATATAAGTAAATATTATTCGAAAAAAAAGAATTATTTTTTCTGTTTTATATTACTTCAGTAAAGCAGATCTATGTTTATGTTTGGGTACGTCATTACAAATTCGTCCTTGTCGCGATTTACCACGAAAAACAAAGAAAAATGGAGGAAAAGTAGTAATTATTAATCTACAAAAAACATCAATGGATTCAATAGCTAATTTAGTTATTCACGAACGATGTGATCATGTTATGAAATATATATTAGAAAAACTTAATTTAAATGATACATCAAAATATTCTCATGTCAAAAAAGTTATTCTTCTTTCTGGTAAATATAAATCTGGAAAAGATTATATTGGAAGAAAATTAACTGAAAATCTTTCGGCTTTATATTTAAATATAAATGAATTTATAAAACTTCAATATGATAAAACACATACCAAAGATTCATCGGATAGTGAAGATATTTATCAAACGAATATCATTAAGTATGTAAATTGTTTTGTTGGAAAAAAATAATGCTATAATAATTATTTTCTAGATGGAGAGAAGAAAAATCTCGTGAAGATCCAACAATATTTTGTCGAACGATAATTGAAGAAAAAGATCAATTATGTTCATCATATCCAATATGGATTATTAATGATATTAAATCTTATAAAGAAATTGAATATTCAAAAACAATTTTTAATGATCGTTTATTATTTGTTCGTATTGATGCATCGAATGAAATACGACAAAAACGCGGTTGGAATTCTCAAAATGATACTGATAATTCCGAATTAGATTCTCAGTTAGATACAAACATTCAATGGTCATTTATTTTTTCAAATAATGAAGAAAATACATTTAATGAACAAATGGATCATTTAACGAAAATGATTAATTCTTAATAATCCCTTTTTTCTTTTGTTTGTTGTATAGTTTTCAATACAGAAATAATATTGAACTAAATTTATTGTTGATTTTTCTAGATTATGTATGGATAATTTGCCAGATACACAAAGTGAATTAAACGCTGAATCGAGCTCAACATCTGAAGACGATCTTGATCCTCGAATTCAAGTTCGCATTTGTTTTTTAAATTTTCATATATTTAATTTATTTTTGTTATAATTAAGATTGAATTTGATCGATTAAATTATGCTAATGAAGCAATTAATAGTTTAGAACTACAACTCGATGTAATCTATTGTAAAAATTCTTTCTTTTTATCTTCATTTATTTTAATAGGATGCTCGAAAAACATTAAAAGAACTCTGGAATATATCACAAGAAGAATTATGTTTATTAGAAAAAAGTATTGGTACATCTGTTGCTAAAGCTAAAAGTTATTATGAAGCTCGAATTAAACTTCGAGAAGCTAAAGAAATCTTAACTAAAGCTAAACATCGATTTGAACGTGCACAAGCATTACATGTTGCTGCAAAAGAATTAGCTATTGCTTCGGTAAGATTTATTTTAAGTTAGTTTAATATATATAGATTTAACTTATATAGGCTGATTATATTGATGAAGCTGAACAATCAAGCGAACATGCTACAGAATGGAGTGAAACCTATCATCAAGCTGTTGAAAAAGTTTATTATAATACTTGTTTTTCTAAAATCAACTCAACTATCTTATATTTTTAGGCAGCGAATGCTGAACGAGAAAAATATTTAGCTGATTTTGATCAACAACGTGCTGAAGTAACTTATTCTGAAATAGAAGCATTAGTTCAAAAATTAGAAAAAGATTCTCGACGTTCAATCAATAAATCAAAGTATAGACAAAACTATATATATATATATATATATGTATGTTATATTGTTTTTTATAGACCATATTATGAAAAGAAAGTGGAATTTCATAAAGAATTAGAGGTAAGCAAAAATATAGAGTAAGTCAAGTAATCCGGAAAAGAAATAAATCATCTCGAATGGTTTTGTGATGTGGAAGAAGAGTAGTCCATACCTATACATCCAAACCCATAATCTGACAACATTAATCAATACATATGAAATCTATTTAATTCTAGTTCCATAAACGTAAAGTATCTGGCCTTGAAAATTGTGTTAATGAAGCTAAATGTCAATATCAACAATCATTAAAAAATCTTGAAATTATCAGTAATGAAATTCATGCACGACGTGAACGAGGAAAACTACAAAATGAACTCGGAGAAGAAACATCAAATTTTGTTGAAAAAACCTTTACTCATACAGAAGAAACAGTATGTTTTTCTAATATCAGAAAAACAGTTAATATAAATCCTTTTCGTTTTGTTTTTAGACAACAATAATATCACAACAACTGACAATTAATAGTCCAACAAAATCTCCACAAAAAGATTCTTCAAATACAGTACTTCGTTCATGTTTACTTCGTACCGAAACTTTACCAACTGGAATATTTACTAATTCAAATAATCGACATATACCTGAAGAAAATGAAGTAATAAAACCAAACAATAGTTTCAATGATCAATTTATTCTTTGTTCAAAACAAGCACCACAACCAATTCTTATTAATAGTTCAATAGGCGAAACCATGACATTAGATGATGATCTTCGTGATAGAGTCGAAAGTATTTCCTCACAATTAACAGATGAAAATGATGATCGAACACAATCACTTCATATTCTATCTGATGAACAACTTGATCATTTAGCTTCTGTATATCATCCTTATTCAACAGAATTATCCTCAGAAACAGGTATGCATAATCAATCATTCGCACAATCAAAAAGCATGATATCAGATTCTATGTTATATTAATTCATCAAAAATCTTTTATATTATTATTTATTTCTATCATTCAGACACAATTGACGAACTTGTTTCACAATTACAATATTCTAAATTACAAGCTACAACATTTTTTCGTAACCTATTTAGAACTAACAGTATGAAAAACTAAAAAAGAAAACAAATTAAAGAGATAACTAAAAAACACACATGTAGTAATAAAAGGGTCTTTAGCTTTTGCATGGCTATATTTGGGTGCTATTTATACTAATTTTTGCTGCATGAACAATTGTTTTGTTTATTTTCTCTTTTATTTTTTCCAACGACAAACTAAGAATCTCATTACATTGACAACGTATTATCTGTTTGCATTTACTTTTCATTTGTACTCTTTTTTTTCTCTTTCTTATACATTTCATTCAACCGGTGGTTATTCCACACATACCTATATATTTAATATTTCATTTTTTCTATTTGTTATATTCCTGCATGTTATACCATTTTTCTCATAGTCTTTTTTCTCGTCTTTGTTAATGTATATTCATCATATTAAGAAAAAACAAAATAAAGTTCTCATTCGTAGTATTTCCAAAAAAATGACATTAAATAAAATCTAAATATATTTGCTTTAACTCCATTAAATACAAATGGTATCAATTTTATGCACAGTTTGACTTTTTACATTCTATCGTATGTCAATTGAGACGAGACATCGAATCAATTAGAATGAATACAAAATAAGTTCATGTGATTGGTCACACTAAGGTGTGATTTGGCAAAAAAAAAAAATAAGGTGGAGAAGTCAAGCCTACCAGCACTCAAGTGACAATAAGCTCAAGCTATCTACAATCCTAATCAATGAATTTCATTCTATCTATATATATAGAGAGAAAATTCGACTAAGAACACATATGTTCTAATAAGATCATTAGATGATTTTTTTTCTCACAGATTGGTTTTTTATTTATTTGCTTTTGATAGACATCGCAACAAAAAAAAAAAGAAAAGATAGCATTATATGAATAATAAAGAGACAGAAGGTAGGGATAGGTAAAAAAAGCGAGAGAACAAGAAATGACGATGTAATTAAAAGAATGCTTATCTTTTCGAGTATACCGTGATTGAAGATCCAACAGAATTAATCAATATAAAACTACTTGAAGAAAAAAAAGATAATGTTGTTATTTGATTCGGTACAAATCTTTATAAGAATTCTCATTAAAAAGAACAGAATTTATGATTCTATTTCCCATAGATTTATTAAAATAAGTTATCGAAGACACGTAATATAAATGTGCATACACCAGTTTTTTCTAGAAAAGTCTCGACTTTCGAAAGTACTTTTTTTCGAAATAGTTACTATGATGAATAATAATAATCCTATCAACGAAACACTCTTTTCTTCGTCTTTCTCGTAACCAATAACTTTATTTTTTTTCTTTTAGCCAATGAAAAGTGCATACCTTCTCTTTTTTTTTCTTCTTCTTCTCTTTCTCTCCCCTCTTGTCGATTTCTCGCCAAGAGAGAGAAGTCATGCTATTTGATACGAGTATTGAATCATAAAAAGGAAAAAGTGTAGCAGAATATACATCTATTTCTTTACAATACATTGAAATCGTCGTCATCATCATCATCATTATATCCCTTTTTTCTTCTCTCTTAATTGAAGAAGACAATTTTCTAAATTTTTCTTTTATGATTATGCCATGTGACTAGAGTAATAACAGAAGAAGTAGCAACTATATTGAAAAGTTCTAATTTTATTACTATAACAATAATAATAAATTTATACATCTCTTGATTATCCGTGAAATTATCATTGACGTTTATTGCGTCATCTTAAACACTTCTAATCATTAAACAAGTAAGTCAATAATTGTTTTCTTTTTTTTTTATGAATAGTCCCAAAAGAAACAAATCTATAAAATAATTTATTGTTTAATTTAGCAATATGAACAATAATACAACGACTATGTATCCAACAATGATACCTACACATTATATACCAGAAGAATCCGCATATATTTTTGATACATCTTATAATGGTTATTCATCACATCCAATAGCTTATTCGGATTATCCACCACAACCTTCATCATCAAAATTAGAAGCAATTGATTATGGTTGTTGGCCAGCAATTACTGCACATAATATTCTAACAAATCGAGCTAGTACAGTTCATGATCATATTCAACCAACATCTTCACCACCATCCTCAAGTCAAACAATAGAAACCTTAACACCTATATCTTCTGCACATTTATCACAAAATAATTCATCATCGACAATTTCAGCTACACATCATCATCATCATGTTCATCAACATCTTTATCCATCATCAACATCATCACCATCTTCACCCCCACCACCACCATACAGTGATCAGCCTGTTTGGCTTGGTCGAGCTGATTATCAATTTTTACATCCAACAACAAATACACCATCATATCGTCATTATTCAACTCCATGTTCAATTTATCCTCCAAATAATTTTTATGATCCATCTCAATCACAATGGACATCACCATCACTACTTCCAATAAAATATGAATCACCATATAATTCCCCACCATCCCATTTTGAATCATCTGATAGTGTAAATCATTGTCATGAACAAATACCTAAACATGAACCATCTGAATCACCTCAACAATCAAATTGGATTAAACATGAAAATTCATCAACATTAATGCATCCAATTCCACCTAAAAATCTATTGAACGGTAATCAACTGACCTTTATACTATAGAAGAATTTTTTAAAAGGGCATTTTGATTGAAACATGCGCTTCCACATTGGTGTTATACTTAAACATGATCAAAGTGTAAACATACGATGAGTAACAATAATATACTTGATAAGTCAGTTTGTTTGATTGAATTTTGTAAGAAAAAAAAATGTCGAGTGCCATAAAATGGTACCGAAATACGTGTAGATTTTTTTATGACTTTCAATTGTTGATAGAGAGCTTGTATTGAAGTTGAAGAAAAAAAAGAGAGATAAGATTAATCTTAAACTTATAGAATAAGTATCCTATTGCTTAAAAAATGTTTTTTTTCTTCTCCTATTGTCGAATAGGAAGAAAAAGAAATTGAATATATAAATTTTTTTCTCTTTTAGGTAAAACACGTACACGTGATAAATATCGTATTGTTTATACAGATCAACAACGATATGAACTTGAAAATGAATTTATAACATCAAAATATATATCGATACCAAGAAAATCAGCTTTATCATTAACATTATCATTAAGTGAACGACAAGTAAATAAACTTTTATTTTTTCTTGTACATTAAATTTTATTTTATTTAGATTAAAATATGGTTTCAAAATCGTCGTGCAAAAGAACGTAAATTAAATAAAAAACGACATGATGTATCTACAACACATCAATTAAATAATTCCAATGATGCTGATTCACCAAGTGATGGTGGTATGGAAAGTCCAACTTATTATCAAAATTATACGTGATTTTATTTATTTCTTCTAAAATGACATTCGATATGTTTTCTTTTCTTTCTTCTTTTTTTTCTCTGTTGGATTTTCTTCTTTTTGTAATTTGGAAACGAAAAATATCTTCAAAATAATATTTTGATCATTTATGTCTTTTTTTCTTATCAATTGAAACAAAGATAAGATATTATATAGATATACATTATATATATAGAGGACAAACTTTGTTTGAAATCGATCATAAAGAATATATGTCTTCCTTCTTTCGACCAAAGCGTTCGTACTACAATGTATAATCATAACAATAGATGGATGTTTTCATATTAAATATGTACTCTCTAGTACGAATATCTCTAGGCATCATCGTCCGAACAGACAAAAAAAGAATACGAGCGGATGTTCATCAGTAGTCTATCACGATCGTTTTCTCTTTCTTTTAATATCGTCGGCCATTATGTATGTTAGTATAAGAAGGCTGACGTGCAAATATTTCTCACATATACATACACACAAGAACTGACGTCAACTTGTTTCCTAACTGTTTACAAGAACAATGTCGTTTTTAATGTTAGCTAAATTAACTATTATTTAAATATACATATATATATTGTTATTTTTTTCATCCAGGTCACATGAATATCTGCAGCAACAGCAACAGCAATCGAAAGGTACAAATGCTGAAATGGATTTAAGTGTACTGTGGTGTCTTGGACCAGATTTTGACAAACAAACAGTATTCAATTTACTTGGTGATAATAATTATGTTGAATCAGGTTTTGCACAACCTACAACACCAAATTGGTGGACACCAAATTCATCACAATGGAATAATTCTTTAATGCAAGAAGCACCTATTTATACACCTCGTTCAGTAATGAGTGAACTTGGTGGTCCTCAATCGCCTACAACAAGTGCTGCTAAACGACCATTTTCAGATGTTACTAATCGAACAAGTAAAATAGAGATATTTTTTGTTTTAAAAGGCTTATCATGTTTTTGTTTTCTTCTCTAAAAGTGGGTCGATCATTTAATAATAATCAACCACCACCACCAAAATTGGAATTTTCCACACCAATACGTTCACTTACACCTGATCTTTATAATCGTTTACCATCATCTATTAAACGATCACGTGTTACACCTACATTAAATTCTTCTAACTACGAAACACCATCACCACCACCACAACAAATGCCTTCAGGAGGATCTACAGTTGATTCAGCTGAGTAAGTTTATTTTCGAAATAGTAATATTCTTCTCTATAATCTAATATTCTAGACGAGCATTAGAAATTGCACTTTTACTTAAAGAACATCCAGATTGTACTTGTGTACTTGTTACACTTATTCAAGAATATCAAAGCCGGTTAGTTTTTTTCAGTTAAAATATTAATTAGACATCGTATATTTTCTATAGATTTCAAAAACCACTTCATGTAAGCGAATTATATACAATGAAACATGTCATTGATATTCAAGATTATGGAGGCAATCGAGTTGCTCGTTTATTACCGGCATTTCGTATCCGTTTTGATGAAAATCATGTTCATGTATGAAAATACTTTCTATCGAATTATTTGTATTTTTAATTCATAATAAATTCATTTTAGACTCAACTTGAACAACCCTTTTGTATAATACATTGTCCAAAAAATTTTATTGTAAATCCTGATCTTGATTTACCTTTTGTTCAAATTCCATTCAGCATTTTTGCTGATAATGTTCGTCAATTATTAACTCAACATAATGGTTCAATGCCTTTAGCTAGGTAAACTATTCATATTCTATTTCATATATATAATTTTCTCGTCTATTTAGTTTCCCTCAATGTTATACTCAGAGTTTCGACCCTTTAATTGATCATAATCAAGGTGTACCACTTGAACATTATATTTCATGTAAGTTTTATTTAATTTTACCTAGTAAAAAATAATCATATTTTTGTTTTTAATAGGTATTAAAGATATTCAAATTGTAACAGGACAAGGTGTCATTAAAAAAGTTCAATTTTCACATACATTAGGTGCACCATTTATCCCAACACCATTTGATACATCAAATAGTAAATGATATATATAATTTCTAAGTTTATTTTTTAATGGTTTTTGTTTATCTTTATAAAGTGCATGTCGATATGTGTGCTGAAGTTCAACAACGTTTACAACAATTTTCACGTGAAGTTCTTGATTTACTTAAAAATCAAGGTTCACATTGTCGTTTACCTGTTTCGAAATTTGTTTCTGCTTATCATCAATATTTTAGTAGACAATGTCGTGTTGCTGATTATGGTTTTTCAAAAATAATTGATCTTTTATCGGCTATTCCAAAATCAATTCAAGTAATTAAATTAACAAAAAATATATTTATTTATCTTTTGAAATTTTCCAGATACTTGGAGATGGAAATAAACGAATTATGACAATAACACATCGATGTCAAATGAAACGATTTACTAATGATATTATTCGTATTTTAAAAAATAAACCACAACGATCAATGTCAATTAGTGAAATTCCATTGGAATACGAAATAGCGTATAAAAAACCATTTTGTATTGATGATTTTGGCATGTGTTTTTTGGAAGATCTTGTGAATGAAGTTAAAGATAATAAAGAATTAGTAGTTGAAGCTGATAAAAATATTATTAAACTCTATCGAAAAGGTAATTTCTATAAGATAAAATCGAAAATTTCTTATGTCATTTTTTGATATTTAGAACGAACTGATTTAGAAATTTATGCAACAGGCAATTTTGAAAAAGATGTCATTGATATGCTTCGTATTTTACCTGATTTCAGTATACCATTTCAAAAATTCATCCCATCCTATCAGTAAGAAAACGAATTTTCTATCATTTATTATCTCATAAATTCTTCTATAATAGTCATCATTTTGGTTATCAATGCAAAGTCCAAACATATGGTTTTTCTCGTTTAATTGATTTACTCGAAGAATTATCTCATGTTGTTAAAGTATGAAAGACAAACATTCTAATAAATCAATTGAATTTTAATATATATACTTAATTAGATAAATGAAGATAAAAATGGTGAGAAAATTGTTCAATTAACATCATCGATGATGACACATGCGATATTATTAAATATTGAACAACTTGTACGAAAATCTCATATTCCATTAAAACTTAAAGATCTTCAAGCGCAATACCTTCAAGTCTATCGAAATGAACTTAATCCAGAAGATTTCGGTGTTGCTAGTCTTGAAGCTTTACTTCTTACAATGACTGATAAACTTGAAGTATGTTTTATTTTTGCTTATTTTTCATTCTTCTTCTACAAATTCATTTTTAGTTTCATTATACTGAATCTGATATTGCGATTACAATCAAAGAACTAAATCCAGCAATATTACAATTAGCTAAAAATGTTGTTCTTACATTAATGTTATCTCAATGTCAATTATCATTTTGGCAATTGAAACAAGATATGCTTGTTCGTTTTAAACAAGATCTGACTTTAAATATGTGTCGTAATGAATTACGTGATTATGTTGAGGTTAGTTAGAGAATCTTCTATTTACGTATAAATCAATCTCTTTTTTTATATTAGGTCATTGATCAAACAGTCCGTTTAACTCCACCAATGTTTTTTGCATATAATGTCGTTCTTCTTTTAAGTTCAACTGATGGTCGTATGCCATATGATGATTTTATTGTTGAATATCAACGTCGAACTGGTTCAACACATTTACTCTATCCAACAGATTATGGTTTTCCAACAATGCCACGTCTATTCGATGCTATTCAACTTGTTGCACAAGTTCGTGGTCGACGTAATTTTAAAATTATCATACTTAATCCTGAATTTCGACGTATGTGTCACTAAATAATTAATTAATTATTTTTTTATTTCTTTTTTTTAGTCGGAGGATATACTCATCCGACACCATTTACACCATCAATGACACCTTTTTAATATTTGTTTCGATATTTCGTTTTGGCACATAAGTATCATCGTTTTTTCTTTTTCTTTTGTATTGTAACGATATTCAAAAGAAGTTTATTTCATGCTTCTTTTGTTGTTCATCTAGACTTGTGTCGCATATATTTTCTTCAATATTTCAACTAGAATTCTTTTGTCGAATTTTACTGCTGCTTTCTTTTTCTTTTTATATATTGTGTTTTACTTTATTCATGTACATTAGACGAGGTAGTTTGTTCTCGTTTCTGTTTTTTACCAAACACAGCCGTATTTTAATCAAAACAAAAAAAACCGTCACTATTTTTTGTCTTTCTTATTGTTCGGTTCTGTTTCATTTTTTTTTTATTTCAAATCATATATATGCATGAGTATGTATTTTTGTACCAACATTAGTGATTATTTTCTTCTACTAAAAAAAATTCTTTTTTTTCTTCATGATATTATAATATGACGTTCTCATCTGTGTCTGTTTGTATATAGATTTTAACTTCACGTTTTAACTACATTTTATTTAAAAAAAAAACAAACGAAAACTTTAATTTTTTTGTTTATTATTATTATTATCGTATGAGAACCATCCATTTCTTTTTTATGGGAAAAAAACATTTTTGCCTTTTTTTATTTATTCTTTAAATTCCAAATTAATAATGACACATTGAACCAAAAGGAGAGAAAAATTTAGGTCATAAATATGAATCGATTAATCATCTTGTTTTCCTTCGTTTTCGGCTATTTTCATATAATCACCAATAACATCTCCAATTCCAGTATCAAATGTATATTTCTTTGATGAACGTCCTAAACGTACTTCGAGAAATAAGGAGATAGCATTTGAATTATAATTTAGATTATAATATGGATATGTTGCAACAAATTTCTATGAAACATAATATTTAATTTAGATATTTCATTGATCAACAGCTTTATGAATTCTTTTTTTCTGTTTCAGTGAACTCTTTTATTGAAATAAAAAAACCCTTCAACATTTGGCAACATCCGTTGGGAAATAGATTTTATGAAAATAAAGTATTTTTTTTCACAAAAAAAAGAGAAACAAAATTAACCAATAAGACGAAGAAAACCAAGATATTTTAAACAAATTTGCTCTTTATATACCTATCAATAAAGGTCTACATAATTAAAGAGAAAAAAAAGATAGGCGTAGGTTTTGTTTGTTTTCTATCATATACATCATGTGAATAATCGAATTATGAAAGTACATAATATGCATCTGATTCATGAAAAAATGATCTGTTTTAGTGAGATTCTTTATTTATTGAAAAAATAATTTGAAAATGTGTCTTGTGCCATTCTTTATTCAACACACCTTCAACCTTTCAGATATAAGGAAAAATTTTGCTTTTGTTTTTGTTTATTCTTTAAATTTCCAAATTAATAATGTTACAATGAACAAAAAGGAGAGAAAAATTTAGGTCATAAATATGAATCGATTAATCATCTTGTTTTCCTTCGTTTTCGGCTATTTTCATATAATCATCAATTAAATCACCAATAACATCTCCAATTTCAGTATCAAATGTATATTTCTTCGATGAACGTCCTAAACGTACTTCGAGAAATAATGAAATAGCATTAGAATTATAATTTAAATTATAATATGGATATGTTGCAACAAATTCCTATGAAACATAATATTCAATTGAGATATATAAAAATTCTTTTCTTACTTTAGTATTTGCATCTAAAATATTTAACCCATTTTGATTAACACAAATATAGATATCTTCAGGAAATTCGCCTTCTGTTTCATTCTATACAAAGAGAGAAATAGTTTTTTCGTTAAGACAATTTTTTTGAAAATTTACTTTAATTGGATACATTGTTGTACCATAAGTTGGCCAAGCAGCAACATGTTTTAAGAATCGAACTTTTGCTTCTTCATCATTCACATCTCGAATATTACCAGATGCCGTATAGATTTTCTAATAAACAATTGATTTATAAAAATAAAAATCTTTTATGTAGTTACCTTAGACCATTCAGATGTTGATGCAGATTTAATTAAATATCCTGGAACAAAATTTGCCAGATTTGCTCTAGAATGAAATTAAGGTATTTTATTTTATTGTTAAACAACATGTTAACATACTCCGGTGCTCCTTTGCCACGATCAGCTTTGCCTAATAGAGCAGCTAAATTAGCAGCTTCGTCAACCTCTGATTTATGAAGACCTAACATATAATTATCTCTTTCTTGATAGAAATGAATTAATGAATCAGCTTGTTTATCTTCACCCGGTATAATATCAATCCAAAGTTTTCGACGAAAATGTATTTTATAATCAAGTTTTTCTGTCAAAAAAAAATAAGAATTAAAATTACGAACAAAAAAGAAATAATTCATACTTTTATCATGACCACGAAGTTGTGTTAGAAAATCAAAGAAATAAGTATTATTTGGCATACTAGTTTCTAAAGCAAAAAACAACTCCAAGAATAAATAAAAAAGAAAAGATATTTAACTTACGTTTTTTGCCTGTTTCTAAGTACAGTGAAAGTCCACTAGCAGAATTAAGTAAGAATTTAAGTTCACGACAAATATTTGTTACTAATTCACTGGCTTTTGTAGTTGATTCCACAACAAAATCTTGTTCATGTCCATTTGGAAAATGAACATATTGACGAATTTTAACACGATTTATATTTGCATTACATTCAATTATATGTGGACCACGAACACGTTCACCTTGTCTATAAAGATAATGAATATATACTGAAATTTAATTGAGAAAAACAATTACTTTTGAATTTTTTGAATACGATTATAACATTCTAATGCTGTTGGATTTGAACTTGAACGAAGAAAAAGTGCAACATGATAATAAAGAACTTTTCCTGGTACAAGAACACCCGTTAATAACCACAATAATTCCCAAATACGTGTTTCAATTTTTGTATCTTGACAAAATGTTAATTGTTTTATCAATTGACAATATAATTCTTCTTTTAATGCTTTCTAATATATAATCTATATATAAACATTTTAATAATTATTTTCAACTTACATTCTTTTCAAATGCATAATCAAATATACTATCTAAATGACTTTGTTGAATTTTTTTTCTATCTTGTGGTGACATTTTTGCATAAACCATTATAGCACGAAACATTTGTACAGCTTTATGTGAAAGTTCAGTTTGTCCATCAAAACGATGTAATAATGGTCCTTTAATGTCAGTTGCTTCATAATGCCATGCTGTAGTTTTCTTTGAACGAAAGTATTTCTCAGCATAAGCTTGTAATGTATGTAGATTAACATGTAATTGTGGTTCAATTTCTTGATTTAAGTTAACTGCACGTTTCATAACATGTAGAACAAGACCACGCTAGATTTCAATAGAATATAATTATATCGAAGAGATATTGAAAAAAATATTTACTAAAACTTTTGATTCCGGTTTACTTGTACATGGAATAATATAAACAACATCAGCTGGAAATTCACCTTCACGATTAGTTCGATCATTGATACCTGTCATTATACCTGATTCCACATTCTTCTTACTTTCATCATCAAGTATAATAATATCACCACGAAGTAATTCTAATTTACCAGCACCTCGTTCTAATTTAAAAAAAATGAAGAAAACAAAATACACAATATTTTAAATTCATTTCAAAATTTACTCGTAGGCTTGTAATCTTTTTGAGCAATAGCTAATTTTGATCGATCTTTCAAATTTTTATGAATAAGAAGAACTAAAATTCCAAGATCAGCACCCACTATATAAAATAAAAATTTTAGAAAAAGACTGCATCTTATTAATTAGACTTTACTTGGTAATGTAAATGTATAATCTCCATAAACAGTTTGTAAAGTATAATGATAATAATTTAAAACTGGATCACTGTATAGAAATATTACTATTGTTGAGAGATTATTTTCAATTTGTTATTACTTACTGATCACAAATAATATCTGTTATTTCCGAATAATTAATTTCACCTAATACAATTAAAGAATCGTCAGTATATAAACGAATTTTATCACGTCCAACAGCAATTGATGCCGTAGCAACTTCATCTATTAATGGACCTGAAAGCATTTGAATATCGAATACACGTGAAAATATAATTGGCCATCTTCCTTGTGCATAAACAATAACATCTTTTTTAATTTCACGTTTTATTTGATCACGACCTTTAAATTTTTGTTTAAGTCGTTTTATAACACGTTTAAACTTTTCAAAAAAAATAAAACAAAATCTTATCATTTTCTATTATTTACAACTTACATCCGCATCTTTATGAATAGCATTTTGTACGGTTTCATCAATTTGTTTTTCATTCAAAAATGGTTTGATTTTTTTATTATTTGCTTTTCCATCACCAACATTTTGTGGTGCTGGCATAAGTTCTTGTACGATTTCTTTCATTTTCTCAGGTTCAACATCTTTTCCATGTACGACATAATAATGTTGAACTGCAAGTAATACAAATTCAGCTGGATCGACATCTGGTTCATATGAATAGATATTAGAACGAATACCTTTGAGAAAAAAAACATTCATTATTTTACTATTTTATATTGACAAAAAAAGCTATACCATTTATTATTTGTTCATAGATAAAATCAATTGAAATCGGATCATCATCTAAATTTTCCCATGGAGCAAATAATTGTTTACAAAATATATAAGTAATATCAAGACTTCGAGGATCATCTCCTTTATGTAATTGTCCCATTTCCAATCGAGATAATATATCAAATAAATGATCATTATTAAAACCAAGTGAATAACCCTATATATAGATAAATGAAATACTTTGTTTGTGAATAATATAAACTTACTTCAGATTTACATTCAACAAATAATGCCCAACCAAATGTTGATGTAATATTTAATTGTTTGGCTAACTCTAAACAAGCTTCTTCCGCTATTGTCGCGGGATCACAACAAACTGATCGTCGTTCTTCGCTATGTATGATTTTTACATTGATTTGTATGGGTGATGCTTGTTGAATTGCACTTATTTCTTCCATACTTAATGGTTCATATCGACTTCCATTCTTATATGTTCTTTTCAATGCAAATTCTGCAAATTCCGAAACATTGGGTGGACCATTTTGAATAAAATTTCGAAGAAATCGAACGAGCTAAAGAATTACAAATAACATTTTTTTGGATTTTTTTAAAATAACTAACATTTGAACCCGGTGGAAATGTATACAAACATATACAAAACAGAAACCATCCACGCATATATGATTTTTCACGTTGTTCAGTTTTATCTGAATTACGACTTTTCTTTTCACGTTGTGACGGATGATCATTTAATTGTTTACAAATCTGACATAGAATTTCATCTCTAAAAAGAAATATTTATATCTATTAAAAGAATATGAATTAATTTTTTTGTATACCTTAATCGACGACGACTAATACCTAACATTGTTATCATTTGAACTTTTTCTAATGATGTTAAATAACGATCTTCGATAAATGGGTTTTCATTTTTTAAACGTTCTTCAAGATAAACTGATTTTTTACTAAATGCTCGAATACGTGCAACTGCTTTCGAACGAATTCCTTTATTTTTTTTCTATTTTATGAATATGATAAAAGAAATAATTGAAAAAAAAGAAGAATATTAACCTTTTCATATGGATCTTCTTCTTCTTCAAGTTTCAATTGATGTTGTTGAGCAATTAATGGATAAAGTTCAGGTACAAGAATATCATATTGAGATTCTAAACGTTGTGCTTCTTTATCATTTTTTGCAGTTTTTGGTGGTGGTGGAGTTACATCTTCTTTATCACCCATAAATCTCATAATCATTTGAAATGTTGCGATAGCTGCCTAATTTACAATAAATTCATTCAATGATTTTTGTTTTAAGAGAAAAAAAATTTACTTTTTGATCAACACCTGATTTAAGATCAAGTAATGGACGAATAATTTCAGTTGTTGTATGTTTAGCATCATAACCATGTTGAAAATATTTCGCAGCAAATTTGTCAAATGAATTACGTGATACATCACTTTTGAATGGATCAGCTTCTTGTTTTAATTGACGTTGTGGCTAATAATAAAAGATAGACAATATTTATACATAACAGAAATTTATTAACAAACCCCTTGTATACCATCTTCACCATCTTCACCATCACGTCCATAACGTCTTGCTATTCCAGCTCGTTTATCACGAGCTAATGCTATATCTGAACGTAATTGTTCACGTATTTCTTCATCTAAATTAGCTAGACGTGCATCGTATGCTGCTTGAGCTGCTTCACGAGCTTTTTCTGGTCCTAATTCAGGTGTTAATAAACGTTCTTCTTCATTTTTAAATGCTTCAAATTCATCTAATTTCATTGCCTAAATTAAATAAATTTATTTTAATAGAAAAAAAAACGAAGTTTATTCTACCTTAATTTGTTCACGTCGTACATCACGCCATGCCAAATATTGAAGAACTTTTTCTTGAAGAATACCATATGCTTTTGGACGAAATTTAGCATTTCTTCTAGCTAAATAACCTTTACCTAATGTCTAAAATTAATAATTACACACATATATCTCATCTAGTTTAAATTTAGATTAACAAACTTGAATACGAGGTAAAGTTTCAAGATAAAGTTTTTGTTTTTCACCAATATGTTGTGTTCCATACAACGCTTGTAAACGTCGAAAACCAAGACGCATCTATTAAAAATAACTATTGTATTTTAAGAAAAATTTCAATTAAATTATTTACTTCACAATAAGCACGTCTTTCAGCATAACATAACCATGATTGTTGTAACCATTTAGCTAGTTTTTTAGCTCGTTCAAATTGTCGTTGAGCATAATGACGTCGAACCGCTTTTTGTAATGCTAATATACGATCAGCAAGAACTTTTTGTCTTGCTTGTTCTAACATTGCATCATGTTCATCTTTAAGAAATACTTTCGTTTTTCCTATTTGATAATCTTGTCCAGCTAATGCTATTTCACAAATTTTCACTGCTATAGTTCGTTGATCACTACGATCACCACGTGCTTCAGATTTTTTATGCATACGTTCAAGTGCTGGCGCAATAGCTGCATAACGATGAACAAATTCATTAAAATCATGACGTATAGGATAACCAATACGACGAATATTTATTGTTTCCATCATACCAGAATATCGAAGTTGTTGTACAACACGTTCTCGATCGAAATTCTATAAAAAAAAAGTCATTTATTTTTCTTCCCCAAAGAAAATTACATACATGAGTTGCTTTAAATTCATTTGGTTTAATACAACGAATAAAAAATGGTTCACATTGTCGAAGAGCAGTAAGAAGAACTTCGAGAGATTTACGAAATTGTGCAGCTAATGATGGTTTACGTTTTTTATCATCCTAAACCAAAAATCTTTGTTCACGTTCAATTTAGTAGAATTTTTGACTTACAAGATTTAAAGCTTCAAGTGGAAATATTGTTTTAATCAAACGATTATTACTTTTGGCTAATACATGTTTTAAATCATTACTAAATGTATCACGATTTTTTTCAAGAAAATCTATAAAGATAATTAATGATTGTATTTAGATAAGATTTATGAATTGATATCTTACGAAGACAATCATATTGAACAGGTCCAGCAAAATGTTTAACACCAAATAAAAGTGATTTCTGTACTTGTCGTGATGACTGTGTAATAAAATGTTTATTTTTTCCATGTTGTTGTTGAAGTTTAGCACATAATGTTGAATCACTACCTTGTGGTACAATCATTTCTTCATCAATCATTGATATAATACTCATACGACCACGTGCTAATAAATCAATGATATCTTGATTATCGATAAAATTTATTTTTTTCCAATTGACACCTTCTTTTTCATATTCAGCCTTAATTATTTCAAATAAAATTCGTTTTTTTTTGTCAAAATTTAAAAATCTAGTCTTACTTGTTCAAGTTTAAAAACATGATGAACAAAAAATTGTTGTAATTCTTCATTTGTATAATTAATACATAATTGTTCAAAACTAAACATTATTATTATTATTTATATAAATCTGAATCAATTAACTGACCTATTTTGTTCAAATTTTTCAAAACCAAATATATCAAGAACACCAACAGATCGAAATTTTTCATCTGCTTGAGCTGTACGATTAGCACTACTTTTATTGTTCATTGCTGAATTAATTCGTGCGATTAACCATTCAAACATCTGTCCATATAATCCTTTGACAAATGCATCTCTAGGAATATTAAATTTTTTAAGTTGAAAATTAATTTTTCAGTTTTTAATCTTACCGAACATCAGCAGCTGATGATGCATTCAAAGCTCGTTCTACTTTGCCTTCTTGAACTTCGAGTGTTCTACTAACTAATGCTTTAGTCAATGATTTAATATCAACCTAAACAACGAAATTTCTATATATTTTATATTTATTTATTTATTGTTTCTTACTTCAAGTAGTGAAGCAATCAATTCAATTAATTTTGGATCTTTTATAGTTACACTATCGATACCTTTTGATGATTGTGCTAGAAAAAATAAAACCATATACTTCAGTATACAAAACTAATCGTGAAGGTCTGCAAAAAAATATTCAAAACCAAAGGAACATAGAGGCAGTACTCCTAGACATGACCCAAACACAAACAGTTTGTGTTTGGGTCATGTCTAAGTATTCCTGGCGTTTTTTGTTTAAACTATTTGTACTTCTTTATATGAATAGTATTAACTAGGGATTATCACTAAAGTAGAGCTCAAATATTTACCGGTATATTGAATATTTCCAAGATGTAAAACAATAGCTAAGATACGTAAAATTTCGAATAATTCATCATCAGTAAACATAAGAACTTTGCATGCATGTCGAATTGCTTTCCATTCTTCTGCATCATTACGTGTATCACATTTTGGTGTACTCTAAATATTTTTTTGTTTTATATGTTAAATAAACTCGAAGTTTTAAATACTTTATTTAAATAAGCATAATCAGTTGCTTTTGTTAATCTTAATTTACTTCGTTCTTCATTGCCTAGACCGGCTAAGACACAATAAAATATATGATAATTTCGTTCTTCTTTTGCCTAATTAATTAAAATTATTCAATTAAATCATTATAAGAAAAACAAAAACAATTTTACTTGTGAAACAATACGAATTTTTTCAAGTAAATATTGATCAACATATGCATTGGCAATAGCACCATTACTATCAAAATTTACAGTTATATATTTTCCAAATCGACTACTGTTATCATTTCGAAGTGTTTTGGCATTTCCAAAAGCTATATTTACAAAAGATTATTATATAATTTTATCTCTCTCTTTATTTTAAACCTTCCATAATTGGATTAGCTTCAAGTATTTGTTGTTCAATACTTGAATTTTTTTTTGTTCCACTTATAGCAGCTAAACATTGTAAAATATGTTTTGTTGATTCAGTTTTACCAGCACCTGATTCTCCACTAAAAAATATTCAAAAATCAATTAATTCAGTAATCTAAAACAAAAAAAAATTATTTTACCTAATAATAACACATTGGTTATATTTAGCATTGGGGTCAGTACGTTCACGTAACATATTTTGATAAGCATTATCACCAATAGCGAATGTATGCGGGTCTAATTCACCAAATTTTCTATTACGATATAAACGTAAATATTGTTGATTATATAAATCAAGTTGTGTATATGGATTAACAGCAATTAAAATTGATCCAATATATGTCTAGAAGAAAATTTTGATAGATTCAATTGATAAAATAAACGAATAAATTTACATAGATTTTTTCTTTATTATAACGTAAAAGTATATTACGACAAATGGCACCTTCAGTTAAATCGCCCAGATGAATCATATCCGGAATATCGGAAAATGATGTTTGATGCATCTTTTTAAAATTTTCCGGTTTATTTGCAATTGTTCGTTCCTAAACAATTAAAAATGTATGGAAAAATATAATAAGATAGAAGTTCTTTATTACTTTTCCATTATCATCAAGAACTTTAAGTTGAGTTTGATTAACATCAATAACTTTTGCTCCAATTTCCACATCGAATTCACCCTGTTTATCGGGTGGTAACCAAATGTATGCGCTCTAAAGAAATATATACTGATATTTTTGAATTGATTTCAATTTTTAACTTACCGTTGCCATACTAATGATATAAGTAATGCGAAAAAATTGCTGATTGTTATTGTCGAACGCTAGTTTGATTACTCACTTAATGTCCTTCGTTAGAGGGTAAAAAAAGAAAACGATTGATTTTTTTTATTCGTAATATATATCAAAGTCAGGCTCCCATATGAATAAAAGTATGCAGAAAAAAGAGAAAAAGCAGAGACGACACTTCTAATCGATGAAGCGGAAAGTCAACAGATAAGAAAACTTTTCAATAAAAATTTACCAGCACTTTATTACTCATACGTTATATTTTCAAAAGCTCTTCAATAATAATGGAATTATCTTTTATATGAATTCATGAATATCATTTAATAGAAACTTGATTTTCCTTCAATGAAAAAGAGCGTCATCTTTTGGAAAATCCTATCTATTATTCTATTAAAACCCGATTGGTTTCTTATTTGTACCATCGCACGAATAGATGAAAAAAAACATTGAAGGTGATCGATTTAGCAATGCAAAAATGCACTGAATCGATATAAACCGCAACAGCTAATGTTTTAGATAAATAGTATTAATGTTTACTTTTCGGTGTCTTTCCAGTCGGTTGCCAATACGTTCATTAATTACTTCTCCTTGTCGTCATGCCATAGTTGGTGCTACGAATCCTCAAATCAATAATGAAAATTATCAATCAACAATCAATTTAATTAAAGAAGATCTGAATTTAATTCATCGTGACATTTTACAAGTAAGTAAAGAACAATTTTTTAATTCTTTTTTTTCTAATCTTTTAGATTTCGTTTTTCGTTTGTGCTGGAAAAAGAGAATGGCTTCATCTAATGATGAAACTTATGAATCTATAGGTCTTGTTAAACCAGACGTAAATGTTTACGTTATTCCACCGCGACAATCAACAACACGTAAACATCGTGCTGCTGATTGGAAACTAGATTCACCAAATTTTATTTGTCGTTTAAAAATCATATCAAAAGGTGATAAATGTTTAGTACGATTAGAAGATCGTAATACAGGCGCACATTTTGCAACATGTCCTATAGAAAATTATCCATCGATAGCTGTTGAAAATGTTGAAGATTCCACACGTTATTTTGTTATACGTGTACAAAATGAGAATGGTCAACAAGCATTTTTAGGTATTGGTTTTAATGATCGATCGGATTCATTTGATTTTAATGTTGCCTTACAAGATCATTTTAAATATATAAAACAAAATAAAAAAATTGAACAAGAAGAAAAAGTAACAAATAATCTTTCGTCTGAACAACAACAACAATCCAAACTTGATCTAAGTTTTAAAGAAGGTCAAACAATAAAAATAAATCTTAAAAGTAGTTTCGCAGGTGATGAACCATCGAAAAAATCAGTTAAAAATATGAATGACAATTTTACACCAGGAATTTTACCTCCACCAAAATCAAACATTCCAAAAATAACTCCACCACCACCAACTAATTCCGATTCAGATTGGATGCAATTTTAAAATCTCATTATATTTATATGTAGATGTATACCCCCTGTCTCCTCTACTTTTTATGTCATATATTTATTAATAATTTGAATGTCATATGTGCAGTATTTGTATGTATTGTTTTATTTTTCCTTTTTAGAATTTGGGATGTTATGAACAAGAATTGAATGAATTAGCAAAATATCATTTCGATACGAAAGGTAAACTTATTCGACCAATGATTATATGTACAATGGCAAGAAGTTTTAATCAACAACATGACAAGTAAGATAGAAGATTTATTAATTAGATTGTAAATAAATCGGCTTTGTTCAGTTTTTTGCATGAAAATCAACGATGTATAGCAACTCTTGGTGAAATGATTCATACAGCTAGTTTAATTCATGATGATGTTGTTGATTCAAGTGATAGACGACGAGGTAAACCAGCTGCAGCTATCAAATGGGGACCAAAAAAAGTATATTGGAAGTATTTGTTTTAATTCTATTAAATAAACAGCTAGTTTACAGGCTGTACTAGCTGGTGATTATATTCTTGGTATATCATCCGTAATGCTTGCTCGCATTGGAAATTGTGAGGTTATTTCACTTCTTTCTCGTGTTATTCAAGATCTTGTTCGAGGTATTTTCCCACGATTAGTTTTTTCTTAATTTACAAATAATTAATTTCAGGTGAATTTATGCAATTATCAACCAAAGAAAGTGATGCTGAACAATTTCAAGATTATTTAAATAAAACATTTTGTAAAACTGCAAGTCTATTTGCAAATACATGTAAAGCTGTAAGGAATTAAATTTAATATTATGTAGTTTTTATAATGATTTGGATGTAGGTTGCGTTATTAGGAAATATTCCTTCTAATAATATAAAACAATCAGCTGATCTTGCCTATGACTTTGGTAAAAATTTCGGTATGGCCTTTCAATTAATCGATGATTTACTTGATGTTACGGCAACAGATGCTGATCTTGGAAAACCAGCTACAGCTGATTTAAAATTAGGTTTATCAACAGCACCGGTACTTTTTGCTAGTCAACAGGTTAGATTTACAAAAAAAAAGATGAAGATTAATTAATAATAATAATAATTCTATTTCAGTTTCCAGAATTACAGGATCTTATATTAAGACGTTTTTCTGAATCCGGTGATATTAAACGAGCTTTAGAATTAATTGATCAAGTAAATTTCTATATAGAAAAAAAAATTCTATTCATCTTTTTTGTAGAGTGATGGAAAAGCTCGAACATATCATCTTGCTGAACAGTATGCAAATGAAGCTTGTCGAATACTTAGTAGTTTTTCACAATCATTAGATGGCTCAAATGTATTTTTAAACTTATTGACTCATCTAACACAATCGACATTAAAACGTCGACGTTAAGTTAAATATCTTTTTTGTTTAGTTTAATAACGTACTTTCGTCTTTGCTTTTATATGTGCTATCCTTCCGGTTACATTTTTTTTGTTTTGTTTATGTAATTGAAACGGTACAAAAGAACAGAAAAGTTTTCGTAGATAATACATCTTCTAGATGAGTACAAGTAGAAATATTCTTCGAACTCTACAAGATTTAATAACATTGGGACAGAAAAGTGATAAATTCAATCGAATTTTTGAAGGAGTAAGCGAATAGATGATTTTCTTTTTGTTACTTTTTTTCTTATATCAGATTCGAGTAGTATCATCTCGAAAACCAGGACATATTCAATGTGAACTTGATATTGAAGAACGACATTTAAATCGTAATGGTAATAAAATAAAAATAAAATTCGATTTTTGAATTTAATTTTACTTATTTAAAAGATACATTACACGGTGGAATGATATCTTCATTGACAGATAGTGTATCAACATTAGCACTTGAGACTATTGAAAGAAAACCATTAAAATCAGCATCGATTGAACTTAGTGTATCGTAAGTAGAATAATCATTGAATTTAAATCAATAAATCAGATTTTTTTTGTAGTTTTCTTAAAGCAGCAAAAAAAGGTGAAACGATACTAATTGATGCTGAAACTGTTAAATTAGGACGAACATTGGCTTTTCTATCAGTAGAATTTCGTAATAAACAAAATAATGAATTATTAGCAACTGGAAAACATACAAAATATGTTAGTTAATTCAGAAACAGTAGTCTAGAATATTACGTGATTCTACTTCGTAGTTTGTTTTTATCTAATAAAAGTGATTCTAAATTTAAAAACTCTACTTTATCACAGCATGAATTGGTAGTAATTAAATGAATATAGGAGTTTTCATGTAAGAGTCATTATATGACTTACATTTTTGTGCTCTTAAACATGAATAAAGAAAAAGTAAGAATAGATGAATACTATTTCAATGGCTTTTGAATCTTTAATCATGTATCTACGTTGTTCGCCGGAAGTGCTGAGCAAAGAGAATTATTTTTGTAGACTTCATCCTAGACATTTTGTAATTAAAAAAAACGGAACCAACAGAGACGCATTAGGTGGCATTTTCTTCGAAAAAACTGTATTACAGTTACCAAAACAACAAATGATAAATAATGAATCAGTAAAATAATTAAATATCCAGCCGTTATTATGCATCAAAAACATGTTGATAAGATTTCCTGCCTATACAGCTTGTAATATTGACGTCATATCTTTTATTTTAAATTAGTATGATAGTATATTGTTTAAAAAAATATCAATGCAATATCGATATATCATCTAGTTTATCTACAAAAAAAAACTGTAGATGTTGAGTTGTTGATAGATATCTTCGAACAAAAAGTCTTTATTTCAATGTTATCATTAGTGATACTATATTTATTATATTTGTGTTCTTTTCTACTATTAGTTGAAAAACAGTAAAAATAAAGATATTCGTTTGCGTTAAATCAAAGGAGGATTCTAGGTTTTCAATCAAATTTATTCTTCTAGTTAAACATGAAAATAATTTCCCTCGAACGACAGTATTAATAAACTTCTTATTAACACAGCTAATATAAAGTTAGACGCATGATTAATGAGTCTTTTTTCTTCTTTATTTAATTAAATCAAACAATTTATTATAAGATATTCCATTTTTAGCATAGTCTGGATATATTGCATCTCATGCAATCTATTTTTACCGTATATTTTTTCTAAGTAAACATTGATTATTAAAAGAGATAGTTTTTCAAGTATATCTTTTTTCATAAGTTCAAAGTGGTCTCGAATACACAATCATAACACGCATTTATTCATACACTAAGAACTAAAGGCCATTAACTATTTTTCTTGCGCATTCCAGAACGAGAAAGGATCATTAATAACCATCTCCAACAAAAGAAAAGAAATTTATATAATTGGTTATGTTTTTTCGTCTTTCTTTTTTATCAATACAATCGATAAATCTGAACAATACATCAATATTTTATGCTTTTTTAATAATTATGATATTCTACGAATAGAACCATTCACTATTTTTAAGTGTCATTAGTGTTCTTTTATATCACTTATAATATATATCTAATGGTTACGACATTTTAAAGAAAAACATCGAATTATATGCATGAAAGATAATTATTAAAATAAATTTTCAAAGATAAAATATATATTAAACATAAATATTTTATAACTAATCTAATTTGATATCTCTATTATTGTATTCAAATGATGACATCAGATCATGTATAATATGATTTTGATATTAATGAGGAATAAATGTCAAGACAAAAAAAAACCAATGAATAATAAATATGTTAGAATTTGGAAAACAAAAGTCTGGATTAATATCGACTTCGATGACCTGAGGGATAAAAAAACGTAAACCTCTTAAATCAATATGAAGCAT